CTCTTGGCAGGTCTTCCAGCCAGTTCTATCAAACCTTTACAATTAATCCAGAATGCGGCAGCAAGATTAATTTTTAACGAGCCAAAAAGAATGCACCTCACACCTCTGTTCATCAATTTGCACTGGCTACCAGTAGCTGCTCGCATAAAATTCAATGCATTAATGTTTGCCTACAAAACCACCACTGGCTCTGCAGCCCTTTACCTAAATTCATTACTACAGACTTATGTGCCCTCTAGAAGCTTGCATTCTGCAAGTGAACTTCGCTTTATTGTGCCATCCCAAAGAGGCAAAAAAAATCCCTTTCACGGACTTTTAAATTAAATGTTCCCTCCTGGTGGAATGACCTGCCCAACTCAATCCGAGCAGTCCTTAGCCATCTTCAGGAATCAACTAAAAACACATCTCTTCCATCTTTATTTGACCCTCTAACTCTAGCACTTTCTAATTATATTCTTAAAAAAAAAACTTGCCCCTTTTAGACTTGCACTCTATTCATTTAATAACTGCTTTTCTTAAAAAAAAAAACTAACACTAACTAATTTTGTATTCTGTTTGTTTTCTTTTTATTTCTTATACAATTAACAAAAGCAAAAAAGGCCTCTAACACTAGCTTGCTCTATTCTTTTTCTATTCTATTTTCTTTTTATTTATTATATAATTTTTAAAAAACTTGTTACGTGTACTGCGTTAAACTGAGACTTGTTATAGCACTTGCATATCATTGCTCTTTTGTTGTTTTTTTGATTGCTTCCATTGTCCTCATTTGTAAGTCGCTTTGGATAAAAGCGTCTGCTAAATGACTAAATGTAAATGTAAAATACTATTGTAGTCTTTCTACTTCAAATTTAATGCACTTTCTTACTTGCTTGATTTTTTTTAATATTTGTGAAATGTACTACCAATTTCTGAGTAAAAATTTTATATGCTCCATTTTTTTCAGTGCATCTCTAAATGTGACAGATTATAGGAAAAAAAACTTGGGTGGGACTTGGTTCAACGAGTCGGTTGTTGATTGGATGTTAAGACGTAGGCGCTGCAATCAAAAGTGGAGGCAGATGAATGTGTGAGCTTGCAGGAGCAGGTTTTAGTGACTAAATTATTGAAAAAGTCCTGCAAACATCAAGTCTGTCGTTTTCACCGGAAGGTCCAGTTATGACATTTTGTTTAAACATGCATGCATTTAGAAAACATATTCATGCATTTAAAAAATAGGTGAATTTTCATTTCATGCCATAATAAAATATAATGTCAGACTAATCTTACTGTGTTTCTGTGAACTCTGTGCCAAAAAAGAGTTATTGTCTCTCTTGTGTAGAGACAGTCATTATCGGTTTTACTTGTTTACTCAATCCTTACAAACCATACCATATGCTGTTATATAAATTTCTGGCAATACAATACAAATGCTTAATAGGTGACAAATTTTTTGGCATTGGAGTCAGGCCACATGACAGCAGGCCTGTTATTACAGCACCTTTTGTTTTGTTGAAGAAAAAAAAACAATAACCCAACTCCTGCTGTTGTTGTTAGGCAAGAGTAATCATACACGTGTACACCTGGCACACATATACAATACTCATGCAAAACTGTGCTTCTTCACCTGGTAGTTTACAATTCTTGTATAGTTATTAAACATGCATGTTTTATTACTGTAAAAGTCACTACTAGATAGATAGATAGATAGATAGATAGATGTCAAACTATGTTGTGAAAAGTTTATATATTATAATCAATGCAGATTTGTTACAATGTTTCATACCTTATGAAATAGCTGGTAAAGTAGGCCCAGTTGATAGGATGCAAGGATCACACCCCCAAGGGCAGCACCCAGAGAGCAGCCCAAAACCACAGAAATGTCCATATCTAAAGTGGGTTGGTGGTTTACGAGCTAATGTCCACCTGTCGTGTCAGAAACCTGTCCAGCAAAAGCAGGAAAACAAGTGAATAAGCAAGCCGCTAACAATGTGTGTTTCAAAGTTGACTTTTCTCGTGGACAAATGGCGAGACGGCGGTCAATATTCAACACGCTGTCATTGTTGATCTTTTTATGGCCTGGTTAAGGTCAGACAACACCGTACCTGCCAGCTCTTCCTCCCCTGCTACAGCTGCTGCTGCGCTGAGGCCGATGAATGCACTCCTATTGACGGCGTCACTCCCTAACACAAACACAAAGCACTGAATGGACCGAGAGTGCTACGCAATAGGCGGAACAACTCTTCCGCTATTTGAGTAATTGTCTTTACTTGCACATTCAGCGCTCTCAGTTGATTCACTTTGAGAATAGCAGGCTGCGCCGTAACGTGATTGACAGCGCAGTCATCCAATCGGAGGCTGAAACGTTTCTCTAGAAACCACCACCAGAAAATGTATGGCTAGTATTAAGAATTTGTTGATTTTTTTTATTTAAGAGTGTTTTGTTGTTGTTACGCAGGCATATTTTTTTTATTTATTTATTTAAATTTAACACAGTCTATGTAGGTGACACCGTATGACCTTTGCTCTAATGCTGTTAAGACATTAACAAAAGAACTGAAGTTTGAGAGCTGCCTATCACTTAATATAACAGGAGTATCACCTTTAGACATGTACTGCACGTTACACAGCCATCTGTCGTAATAAAGAATAAAATAAAAGGTTTTAACAGGACCTTTTTAATTTTCATAGTTCATAGAAACAGCCACTGAAACACTTACAATGCTGTGTAGTATAAACTTGTGAAATGTCAGCAAAACGTCCACTTAAGTGAACTTTTACTTCAATCGAATCTTTTACTTTCACTCAAATGATATTTTATATTTATAAGACTTTTTGAACAACTACTGTACTTTCGGCAGTTAAAACAAGGTTGTTAAACAGATAAGTTATTCATAAGGTATTTTGATTTAAAAATCCTTATGATTAACTAATCTGTTTGCCTCCAGGCTAGAAATTTAAAATCCGGCCCCGGACCCTGTCAGAATATCTGTTTTTTTTTTTTCTGGTAACAGAACAACTAGTCAGCAAAGTTGTCTAATATCCAAAACCCGTTAACAGTATTAACAGTCTTCTATCAGCCAAGAAGTTGACTGAGCAAAGCCAAAGAAGGGCAGAAGCAGGAGACGAAGTAATTATGATAAAAAAGGAGCAGTTTATTGAATAATCTTAGTTGTGTATATTTCAATGCTCAGACTTCGTCTGACCAGCACAAATCCATCACGTGTTATTATACCACAAGCAATGGAAAATTACTGCTTCACAAAAACGGCCTGTGACATTAAGAACCTTGAAATGGAGACAATCTGTTTACTTGTGAAGACAAATATCTCATCAAACCACACAACCATAAGAATAAACAACAATGGAAAAAATAATAATATAATATAAAGGACTGATCAATAAATTAATCAATAAAATGGGTGTATATATATGGTTAAAATTATTATTAGAAATAATTACGATTAAATTGAATAATACATTATAAAATGATAAATGGTTATCAGTGAAGGATGAATAAAAGAGTAAAAAAAAGAAAGTAAAACACAACACAAATGTATGCTTGCTCTCTCAAAGCAACACACACAGGTTGCTACTAAGAACCCTTAGATCTTTCATTGGCCCCCCCTTAATCATATGAAAACATTTGATTACATTGACTGATTAAATGCAAGCACACTTCCATAATCATCACCAAAAACATACTTTGAAAAGAACAGCTCTCCTCTGTCATACAGTGTACCAGCATCAGTTAGTGGAATGTGTCTCAGAGTGATCTGGCAAAGCAAATCAGCACTCTTATGACAGTGTATTATGTCTAGCATTTTCTTTTATTTTAGAAAACCCTGTTGCAATTAATATATGTTGTGCTTATTTATATGATTCATGATAAGTTAATACAGGTGGTACAGGTGGAATTTTATAAGACAAGACACTACAAGCAAAATCTTTTTTTTTCGTGCAATGCTCAGTTTTTTTGGGGGGGCTAGTTTGCTTCCATAACATGTCTTCTATCAAACTAGAGGAAAGAAAACATCTAAAATACACATTTAAATATTTATTTTATTACAGATTATCCTTACTCTGTCTGTAGTTTAAATTATAATACTATGTTTAAAGGCTATGATTTTTTTTCTCCTGAACGGAGCCAAAATTCTCCCCTTTAAATATAACATTTTATGTGTTATGTGTGTTTATGTTTTGATTTCATCAAAAATATCTTAATTTGTCTTCCGAAGATGAACGAAGGTCTTGTGGGTTTGGAACGACATGAGGGTGAGTAATTAATGACAGAATTTTCATTTTTGGGTGAACTAACCCTTTAAATTCTCAAGGTTTTTACAGAGGGGTTGTCTTTGTATATATGTTAAAAGTTCTAAGTTGAAAGTGCCTTTTTTCTTGCTTTTGACAGTATTTTCTGATGTATAGAGTTATAGAAAGAGATATCCAGAATCTGGCTTTATCCAGTGTTAAGACTACTGTTCTGGAAATGTTTGCAAATTAGTACATATTTAATCAGATAATGTCTCATGTGCATATTCAAACATAGTTCAGAAAACCTGTAATACAAAACAGCTGTCTTAATTTGATATGATTAATCAAATGGGGAAGTCTATTGCTAAATCTGTACTCTTCACTTGTGATGTCTTGCTGTAAGTAATTCAAGTTCAGATCTGTTTTGATGGATGTAAGCCTGAGATTCATTGTAAAGCTGAGTAAAGCATTGTAATGCTGAGTAAGCATTGTAAAGTGTGTTTCATATGAGGGTGCAAAACAGTTGTGTAGATACTTCGACTGTCTTGCCGTATTCTAGATTTTCAGCAAAATGGATTGTTTCCACAGCTTTGAGTTCCTCAAAAACAACAATCTAAAAGATCGAAAGGAAAACAAAAGGAAAGGATTTAAAGGAAGACACATAATTGATTAATGCAGAATAAATTGTCTAGAACCAGTTTAGACATGGATGACGGCTTTTGTCATACTTCACCACAGTCAAATCTTTATTTACATGCAGTCATTTACCTCATTATCTCCACTCCTGAGCCAGGGACCAGGAAGATAGAGGGCTTTCTGAGGACCAACTGACCAGTGGCGTCCAAGATTTTGCCCGTTCACAAAAACCACCCCTTTACTCCAATTCTGCCAACAATACAGAACAAATTCTGTGTCTTCTGTGTTCTAAGGCTATGAGCAAACATGTCAGTCAGGGAAGAAAAGCAAATGTGAGCACACAGAAATAAAACGGTGTAGAAATTTGCTGAATACTCACTGGCAGCTTTAAAAAAGTATCTGTGGGCTGATCCACTACCAGGGATCCTCTGAAAAACGCAGGGTAGGTGGGCTTCGTACCAACAGACGTCCATTTCTGAGACTGCAGTCTAAGAAAAATGGAGAGATTCAAGGAATATGGAGAGTTGGTTTCTTCATCAGAACACATTCGAAGAAATATAGCATTACACACTTGCTCACCAATGGATCCTCTGCAGTGAATGGGTGCCGTCAGAATGAGAGTCCAAACAGCTGATAAAAACATCACAATAATCCACAAATAGCGTATATAATCCACAAACTGTGAGTTTGTAATCAATAAATCCATCATTAAGATGTTTTTAACTTGAAAATGTTGGATTATGGACTCGTTTATGGCCAGAAGCGACGGTTTAAAGTTAAAATGCCTTAATGGTGGATTTGTTTCTCACAAACACACAGTTTTTCATTTAACAAGGCATTAAATGATGGACTGGAGTGGTGTGGATTCCTTGTGGATTATTGGGATGTTTTTATCAGCTGTTTGGACTCTCATTCTGACGGCACCCATTCACTGCAGAGGATCCACTGGTGAGTAAATGATGTAATGCTCAATTTCTCCAAATCTGTTCCAATGGGCGAGGACGAGTAAATAGCATTTTCATTTTTGGGTGAATTATTCCTTTCACTTTTGTCCTATGCTTTTAAAACACCAGTTCTTAAACCCCAGATAAACCAGTTATGCAGCTGAAGTTACCCGAGCCATTATAGCACTATAGATACACAATACAGCGAAAAATACTCAGAATGAACCTGTTTATGAAACTGGTCTTCATATCCAAACAGTGCATGGTGAACTTTTTTAGAGGTACATTGTCCAGAGTTATATCACCAACAAGCCCTGCATGGATCAAAATGAAAATGAACGAGCATGCTGTTATGGTCACTATACTCCTGCTCATATATGAGCAGTATCACTCGAGTACGAGAGCGATACCGGCTCTATATCAGCATGACTGTGATTAGGCCAGTGATTAGCCGCTGATATAGAGCCGGTATCGCTCGAGTACGAGAGTGATATTGCGTTTATACAACAGTTCGACGGAACATGTGTGTAATTAAACAAGAAACAACGGAGTGCCTAATAAAACCCTCTTTTGTGCGGAACTACTTCCTTCCGCCACGGATTCAAAGCTCAAGTTGACAGTTAAACATACGTCACTTTTAGAATTCCGATACCACTACAATATCTCACGGTTCTCAACCAATCAGATTTGAGAACCAGAACGAACTGTTGTATAACTATTATTATAGTATAGTGAGATGCAATTAAACCATGTCAATATTTCGATACAAAATTGTGAAAGGGCGTTCCTGTAGCGATACCAGTACAATATCTCACGGTTCTCAACCAATCAGATTTGAGAACCAGAACAAACTGTTGTATAACTATTATTATAGTACAGTGAGATGCAATTAAACCATGTCAATATTTGACCATTTTTACTACACTGTTACTACACCTTTCTGTTGGTTGTCAAGAGCTGGACCATAGTTCACTCGTCCACAGTTCTCAACAAGCAAACTCAAGGTCCTCTCACTCTGTGAACAGAAATTAGAGAAATGCACAATAATTAAACATAAAATGTAATTAGTACAAGATTAGTACAATGTTCATATATTTAGAAAAAAGAACGTTGCAAATCAAACACAGAAAATGTGTTTTTAATTGTATTATTATTATGCAATAAGTAGTTTTCATACTACTCAAATCTGTTTTAGATTGAGGTTTCTGTTTGGCAGGTTTAGTTTATGTAAAGCCTTAATAAACCAACAATGCATCATACTTACCTTACTGTGAGGTATTTTAACTTTCTGTGTTCTATTGTCTAAAACACCAATGAGTTCTCTGTCAATAAACACCTTCAAAAAAAATATGAATTAGAATTCTCTCCTTGATTTAATTTGTTCTTTATTGTCATGCATAATAACCTTTATGGAGGCCAGGATTGATCTGGAAAAGGTCTTACTAGAGCTCTGTCACGAACATGGTTCCTTGAGTTGAGATCTCCACCTGAATAAATGTCAGTCTGATAGAGTGTGTATCCATAGGACTGACCATTGTTGTGGTTTGCAGGAAGGCTCTCCATGTTGACAGGATCATCAGCTCTGAAAAGCTATTGGATAAATGGTTTTTAGTCATTTTGGGAACATATCTTACCAAATGTGTTCTCCTCTAAACTATCTAGTTTTTTTCTTATACCATGAACTGCCTTTCAACGTGAAGCAGTATTCGCAAACCCATTATTCTTCCCTAATGTGACACATTTTCTAGTAAAAAAGGATATTTATTGATAAAAACATGTATACTCTGAAATGTGTATGTTTGATGCAAAACAAAAAATGAGGTTTATTCTCACAAGTCAAGCAAGCACGGTTGAGCTTGTTTACAATATTTGGTGAGCCCATGTTGATTAATGCTTACATGTGAATAAAAGCCTAAATTAAATCTGTTCATCATATAAAGTGATTGCTTCACTTCAGAAGACCTGACTGCTCGATCTATACTTTAACAATGTCTTTATGAACTTTTTAAAGCTTAAAAATGGTGGTTATGTGTATTTTCAATGGACAGACAAAATGATGAGAGAATTTTGAAACAAAAATCTTCGTTCGTGTTCCATTTTTGAGGACAGAAAAGAAGTGAATAAAAAAATAATAACAGTGGGATACACTGTTCTTACTGTTTCTGCACAATGAAGACTCTCCCATAGTGAAATATAATGAGTAACTGCCAGCGGCTCATATGCTCTTCTGCTCTGCACAGCTGGCGGCTCTGATATCGGCTCATCTGGTCATAAATACAGACAGACAGACATGAAGAGACAAGGACAGAGGTACAGAGAGCTTAAATACATTTTTAAAACATCAGATTCTGTAATCGGGGACAACATTGTAGAAACATACTGCTGTAGGTGCTCAGCAGGTTCCTCAAGAGATGATACTTGGTTGTATAATCACCACTTTCAGTCAGTGGAGCATCATAATCTAAGAGAGATGCAGAGGGGACGATGTTTAAGTGCCAAAAGAGTAAAAGCACACATACACTACCGTTCAAAAGATTTTTAAAATATTTTTGTGCTGCATTTGTTTGATCACAATGAGTAATATTGTGAAATATTATTACTTAAAGGGGTCATAGGATGCTACATGCACTTTTACAAGTAGATTGAACTGGTGGCACACAACCACCCTATAATGATAAAAATCCACCCAGTGTTTTTTTTTTATCTGGTTAAAT